AGCGAGTATTTAACCACGAGCAATGCTAGGTATCATGAAAAAACTTTCATGAAAATGATCATGAAAAATTTATGACCTTTAGATTACACTTAAAATAAAGTTTTTTTTTTTTTTTTTGAGTTTCAGCCAGTGGGAACTCGCCACCTCACTGGGAGTGCGACTCCCACTGGGGTCTACAGCATAGTTGCATTGAAAAACCATCTTTTGAAATCTGTGGTGTGTTTGGAAGTATACCAGTTATTCCAAATTCCAAATCGGTTAAATAAAATACACTTGTCCTTTTCCTTTCTGTTTAAAAACATATAAATGAAGACAATTTAGAACCAATTATTACTCATAACCCAAACCATCAACGTCAAAGAATAGTGTGTATTATTTGGTAATTTTGCAACAATGGTCAACACCACATGTTTTGTGATATTTGTCTTATTATTCTTTAAAAGTAACATAAATGTTATGAGTCATGTTATTTTAACATAAAATTGAATTGGGACACTACACATATTTACTCTCAATGCCCTATTTGATTAATGAAATTTATAGTGAGGGAATAAATCACATTAAATTTTACTCTCCTTTACATTATTTAAAGAACATAATATAAATTACATTATTTTTTAAAAAAATTTGATAAAATACTACTTTGTTTGGTTTAGAGTTTTCAAAAATAATTTTCAAAGTTTTCAATTTATATTTTTGTATTTTTTAAAATATTTTAATCAATTTTTTTTAAAACTTTTAGATTCACTTAATCTTGATATACTTAAAAGTTATAAAATTTGTATACTTTTTTTTTAAAAAATTCATTAAATTTAATAAAATACGAAAATGTATTGGATTTTTATAATTTTTTTAGTATTTGGTAGATTTAATTTTTTTTATTATAAATATTATACGTTTTAAGAGTATCTAGATTAGTGTATATAAAGAAATAAAAAAAATAAAAAAAAATATTAAAAAAATTCTTAAAAACAAAAATTCAATTTTAGAAAAACAGAGCCAACCAAACAAAGTAATTTATCTTATAGTTTTTCTCAAAGTGCTTTTTGACTTATTATTTTTTATTATCAATTTTAACGTATAATAAATTATACTAAATAAGTTCATTATATTTGAATTATAAATTTGTAAATAACAACAAAGAGAAAAAGTGAAAGAAAATTTACGAAGTTAACGGTTATAATTAAAAAAAAATTAATTTAAAATATAAAGGTGAAGAGTGTTGCTTAAATTACTCAATAATAACTATTTGGCAATGCAAATTGGGACTATTTTAGCCACTACGGGACAAAAGAGGCTAAAGTAGCCAAATGGAGACAAAAGCCACTGTAATTGATTGGCAACAACCCACTTCAACGTAAATTTAACAAACTACCCCCACATGAAAAACCACAAATAAAAACAAATTAATGTATACAAATAAAAATAAAAATGACAAAAACGTAAATTAAAAAAAAACCCCCCCCACCCCCCAAAAAAAAAAAAAAAAAAAAAAACAGAAATTAGCATTTGTCATGTAATTTTTTAAAAAATAAAACATATGAAAACGCATTTTTGAAAAATAAAAACAAATTAATGTATACAAATAAAAAAAAATGACAAAAATGTAAATGGAAAAAAAAGAACCACAAAAATACGCCTCATCCAAAAATTAGCATTTTCCACGTCATTTAAAAAAAACATAAAAAATCCTTTTCCAAAAACAAAAAACAAATTAAAACAAAAAAAAAACCGAAATTATCATTTTTCAGGTCATTTGAAAAAAAAAAACAACATAATAAAGCTTTTTCCAACAAAAAAAACAAATAAAAAACGACAACAACAACAACAAAAAAATACATTAAAATGAAACTGAAATAAGCATTGTCAACGTCATTTAAAATTAAAAAACAAGAAAAAACCTTTTCAAAAAAAAAATTTAAACGAAATAAAAGTCAATAAAATGAAACCGAAATTAACAGTTTTCACGTCATTTCAAAAAACAAATGAAAAAGCCTTTTCCAAAATAAAAAAAAAACAAATTAATATATATATATAAGAAGACAACAACATAACACCCTAATTTACGTTTTCAACGTCATGTTAAAAAAAACGAAACATAAAAAAACTTTTTCCAAACCCCACCAAAAAAAAAAAAAAAGCAAATTGAAAACAATAAAAAAAAATAACAAAAACGTAAATGAAAAAAAAAATGAATCACAAAAATACGCCTCATCCAACCAAAAAAAGAAAAATAAATTTAAAAACAGAAATTAGCAGTTGCCACATAATTTTAAAATAAATAAAACACATGAAAAACCATTTTTGAAAAATAAAAACAAATTAATGCATACAAATAAAAATAAAAATGAGAAAAACGTAAATTAAAAAAAAAAGAACATCAAAAATACGCCTCATCCAAAAAAAATAATTAAAAACATAAATTAGCATTTGCCACGTAATTTAAAAATAAATAAAACACATGAAAAACCATTTTTAAAAAATAAAAACAAATTAATGTATACAAATAAAAATGACAAAAACGTAAATTAAAAAAAAAAAAAGAACCAGAAAAATACGCCTCATCCAAAAAAAAATAATTTAAAAACAGAAATTACCATTTGCCACGTAATTTACAAATAAATAAAAGACATGAAAATCTATTTTTGAAAAATAAAAACAGATTATTGTATACCAATAAAAATAAATAAGACAAAAACATAAATTAAAAAAAAAAGAACAAATTAATATATACAAAAAGAAAAATGACAAAAACATAAATTAAAAAAAAAACCATAAAAATACGCCTAATCCAACCCCCACCAAAAAAAAAAAAGATGCTGACGTGGAGGACCAATGACGCTGACGTGGAGAATGTATGACAAGGAGTAAAAATATAAAAAATCACTTCAAGGGCAGTTTGGTCATTCACCATGAAGATACCTCACCAAAAAATCAAAAAGTCAAAAAAGTCATTTTCAAACCAAACTTTTTAGCTCCAGCTTAAAATAACTAAAAAAGTCAAAAAATCAACCCACTTTCTAAACGGAGGCATATATACATGAGATTACATGGCTCCACAAAAAAATTAATCCGAAAATTAGTCGCACGAAGGTTATCATTTTCGAATTTGGATCTTCTCCTTAACTCTTTACTTGTTGGGTTATTAGGTCCACTTTTGGATCCAATTTCGACGACTTAAACCGTTCATAATTTAAGATTTGTTGAATACATCATACTTATAAAAGATCAAATTGATGAGATATCAAAAAACATCTGTTTGGAAAACTGTTTATTAAATTCTTTTAGATAATGGTTTGTAGTTTGATGATTCGAACACACAATTTCTGATATCTGATCAATTTGATTTTTTACAGATATGATATATTCAATAAATTTTAAAATATGAACGATCCGAATTATCAAAATTGGGCCAAAAATAAGCCCTGTGACTTAGCAAGTAAAAAGTTAAAGGAGAGAGATCTCCTTATTCACCAATTTCCAGCCAAAATAAATATAACTAATAAAAATGAGAATGTTTGTTTGTTGAATAGTTATTGATGAATCAGGTAAACTGTGGGGGTGGATTATACCTAGTCCATGGGGATTGGACTATAGGCAGTAGGATCAACTTTAAAATTGTTTGATTGGAGATATGAGTGAAAAAAAAAATAATTATTATTTTTTTGGAATAATAATTTAGACTATCAATCCCGTGGAATTTGGGATTAGAAAATTGAGTGAGGTGATTAGTGAATTTTTAAATGATTTTTAAGTAAAATTTATATTTTTTAAAACAAAAAAAGTTATAATATAAAAAAAAATATTAAAAATAAAAAAATATTAATTTCATATATTAATATTATCTATTGTATTGTTAGTTCGATATTATACCAACAAACACTCTTTTATCTTATTGTTGGCTTATTTTTCCTACGAAGGAAAATATCATAAATGCGAGCGTGCCAGCAAGGATTGAAAAATCCTTACAGATTAAATTCAAGCCAATTATCAAGCGATTGTGTTGACGGTTCTTTTGCCTCAACGAAGAGGACTTCAAATTTGCCAAGTGTAGCGAAAAGAAAAAGTAAAAGAAGAAAAAGGGACGGAGAAAGATGATTGAGTGAACAATCAAAGTAATAATTACTTACCTCTACTCCTATGCTTCGAAAAGAAAGTGCATAAAATGCTTCGAAATGGAAATGCTGAAAATAAATGCTTCGAAGTATTAATCTATGTTAAGCTACTCCTAAGATAAGAAAAATGACAAGAAATATTGAAATCAATTGTCTTTGATTTATGATCTGGATCTTTTACAATGTAGCCATTAATGGCTATTTATAGAAGAAAAAATACAGCAATAACTACTTAGTAACTACCCATTTCTTCCATCTTCATTCTTGTCTTGCCATGTGTCATTCCACTCATCCGCTTTGTCCTCCCACTCATCCACTTTGTCCTTCATATTCTCCATTATCTCTATAACTTCTTTTAACTTCTAAATGAATAAGAGGATGCCACGTGTCCTGCAATTATATAAATAATAAATAATAATAAAAATTGCAGATTTATGGTGTTAACACTTATACACTATCATATTATTAATTTCCTCACCAAATTTCACAATACTTTTAATTCTCTCCGTCTTATGTAACTAAATAAACATAACCTTAAGTGAAAAATTATAAAATAATTATGAATTATCACATAACCATACTCTTTTACTAATCAAAATGTATTATGTACATTTATATATTTTAATTATCTAACATAAATAATTAATATCTCATCTATTATCATAAAACATCTGTAACCGTGACTATGAATAATCACCCGTACTTAGGTAGATAAGCACAAGTAAGAATTTGAAAAGCAGCAGAGGCCGATGATCGTGGTTTTTGTTTGAGGAAGGCGGTGAGTATCGGAGGGGCTACCTTCAAAACAAGGAATATATACTTTCACTTTGCTTTCCTTTTCACACATTCATATTCATATTCATATTCATATTCATATGCACTCTCTTTTTCTCTCTTTAACTTTTCCCCACTTTCCGTCCGTGTGCGCTTAACTTTGTTATCTTCGAGTCATCTCTTCCTTCCTCTTCATATTCATATTCATATTCTCTCTCTCTCTCTCTCTCTCTCTCTGTGATTCGCTGCGTGAAGCTTGCGAAGTCTCACTAATGGCAGACATAAGCCACCCTCCCATGGAACAGCTTCAAGACCTCGAATACTGCATTGATTCTAATCCTTCATGGGGTAAGTCTTCCACCCCTCTCTCTCTCTCTCTGTATATATATATATATGAATGTGAATAAGCGTTTTCAGTATTCTGAATGAGAAGTGGGATTGTGGGTTTTGAAGTTGCAGAGACGGTAGACTCTCTGTAACTGCATGTCATTGTAAACTCCATAGAAATTTCTCTTCTGTACAGCATTGTAATCTTCATACAAAATGTCCCTTTTTTTTTTTTAACTCGTAGTTCGTAGTGGGTCAGAGAGGGATTGGATTCTTTCGATTGATGATGAGTTGCTGAAACAGCAACAGGGGATGTCTCTGAGTCTTGGGCAAATGGGGCTCTTGAATATTCTCTGAGAAATTAATCTCCTCCTCTGTATTTGTATTTTTGCTCCATTTTAGTGATAATTCTCATTTCTGTCCGTGGATGTAGGCATTGGGCCGAACCACGTAAATATTGTGTTCTCTGTGTGTGTGAGATATTATTCTGGGTGTGTTTGATCCTAACAAAGTGGTATCAGAGCCAAGTTGTACGTTTTTCGGAAAAACAGAGTATTGTTTCGAAACTGCCCAGAAATCGTATTGCTCGAAATCCGATTTTGAGCATACCAGGAGCAAGGACTCGACGAGAGGAGTCCAGAAATATAAAACAGACACCAAACGGAGGCTGCACGCGCTTCCACGCGCCCCTGGAAGTTGGCGAGTGATCCCACTCTCAGACACGCGCCCACACGCGCCGTTCAGGCACCCGGCGCGTGATCCCACTCTCAGACACGCGCTCCACGCGCGGTTCCTCTCTCTCTCTCTCTGTATATATATATATATGAATGTGAATAAGCGTTTTCAGTATTCTGAATGAGAAGTGGGATTGTGGGTTTTGAAGTTGCAGAGACGGTAGACTCTCTGTAACTGCATGTCATTGTAAACTCCATAGAAATTTCTCTTCTGTACAGCATTGTAATCTTCATACAAAATGTCCCTTTTTTTTTTTTAACTCGTAGTTCGTAGTGGGTCAGAGAGGGATTGGATTCTTTCGATTGATGATGAGTTGCTGAAACAGCAACAGGGGATGTCTCTGAGTCTTGGGCAAATGGGGCTCTTGAATATTCTCTGAGAAATTAATTGGAAAAGATGCCTCCTTTAATTTCTATGCATCCAAACAAGGCATTATTGATGGAAGAAACTGCAGACAAACCCCAAAATAATGCATGAACTCTTTGAACCTAATAATGGGTTTGCATTAGAGTGGTTGGTGTGAGCTTCCAGGTTTTTGTTTATTTTTTCCCACTGTTTTCTTGGCATTCATAATGCTTTGTTAGATTAGATGTCATGGAGTCTACGAGGGTGTAAAATAAACAATGACTGGTTAGATATTATGTGGAGAATGTTGCTGAGGGATCGTGGTTGAAGAGGATTTAATTGTCCAATTTTCAAATTGGGACCCTACCTTGAAGTTATGATGATGTCCGTAGTGTCGAATCAGCTCCATGCGTTTGTTTATTTAGGCTTCAAGCTGTAGCTGGGTCTCTGTATCACTGGCGGTCCCTAACTAAGAGCCGGGAATTATGGATTGATTGCTGCATTGGGATATGGTTTATTTAATTTACATTGTTTTAGAAATGATATGATGATTTTATCTCTTGCCAACCCTTTGAGGGCTTGACCTGATCAACATAGAATCTTGAAATTAAATGGTGAATGAGAAGAGTGATCTATTAAATTTAGAAAGGACGTCTGGAAATAGAGATAACTCAATAGGAAAGGCATATAATGAAATAGACTCTTCCACTAGAAGAGCATCAGTGACTCTTTTTGGTTGGGTATCTACAAGAAGGGAGCATATTACTGGTACATTATTGATTTTTGGGATTTTTTATTTAAGGTTCAAATTTTGATCAATGACTGGGGAGCTTAAGATGTCAAGGCTAACTCATCCATGATTGGATTATAAATGGTTTACTTGAGTGTTTGTATTAAATTCTCGATCTAGTGGATTGTTTTAGCAGGCAACATTGCTCGTGATTTTTTTTTACCAATGGAGATTGTTGTTCCCAAGGGTTCTTTATGTATATAATGTTGCTTTCTTAGTTTATTGTTGTGATATTATATGGATGACACATGCATGACTGATGTATTGGAATTGACAAACTAAATTGAATTGAATAGGCTACTCATTAAGTTTAATTGGAAAATAAGTTGGAGAGTTTGGCCAATCGAACCCCCCCTCCCCTCTTGCACATATGTGGTCACCTTCGTGATTTCATAGATAACTGGTTGTTAGACGTTAGAACTATTGTGAGGTGTCTTGTATTTTTACTATACACTTAGATTTACTGTGTAGGGCCTTTTTCGGAGGTGGAGGGTTGAGGCCCTAAGCAAAAGTAAAAGGCCCAATCATGATTCACTTAGGCCTGTGCGGGGTTCTTGGAGGCACTGCCCTGACTTGAGGTTTTGGAGGTATTTATTGTATTTTTCAACTAGGGTTTCAAAGTGACAATGTGACAGAGTTGTAGAGTAGGATGTAATGATGTTTCATTGAGATGATCAAAACATGCTACCAAGCAGCTACTCTGAGATAGGCTATCTGAATGTGCTAAAAAATGGATTATGTAGATGAAATGCAATACAGCATAATCAAAGATGACATGACTTTCAACAGGCTGCAGTAGTTAAAGAAGGATTCATGGTCTAGAGTCTTGAACGTTGGGATCATACCTTCATCATTTTCTCATTAGGCTTCAGTGACTGTGTTTGCCTTCTAACTGAATTCTTTATCCTTTCACATGTTGGTTTATGTTTGTTCCTTGCAGTTGAAACCATCCTGTTGGCATTTCAGAATTACATATTGATGCTGGGCACAAGTGTAATGGTCCCCACACTTCTCGTTCCATTAATGGGCGGAACTGATGTAAGTTGGATGTTATTTAGTTTTTGCTCTCTATCTGTTCAATCAATAATGTTTCTCATGATTAGAGTATTTATATGGTCAGGAAGGCTTGATTTTCATTTTATGGACATATTCAAGAAATTTAAACCTATCATTAGTTGAGTCCCTCCTAGATGACCAGTCATTTGCTATCTCACTCTCCGGATCAACTTTACATGGGATTTTTGTGCTCATTGTATATAAGCAAATTTTGGCCTGGATCTTCTTTGTGGGACTTGTTACTATGGTAGGTCTAAAACAAATCTCCTCACCTAACTTGGCCCTGTTTTTGTTCTGTCAAAATTTATTTTGATCATTTTGTTGCTCACGTATCAGGGTGACAAGGCACGGGTGATACAAACTCTGCTGTTTGTAGCTGGAATTAACACACTTCTCCAAGCACTTTTTGGAACCAGGTTGCCGGCTGTTGTTGGAGGTTCCTATGCTTATGTCATTCCTATACTTTACATCATACATGACTCATCCCTGCAACAAATTAGTGAACCCCATGTTGTAAGTCTCCATCTTCTTACCCCTCATTTTTTAGTGAACCACGCTTTGAGTGGTTGTGAACAGGGACGAAGCTATAATTTTGTTTAAATGAGGCCAAGGTTTACATAAATGTTATGAAATATTAACCAAAAAATTAGAACTAAATCGGTTATCTTTAAAAATGATTTCATTCACAAAGTTTTTATGAATACAAATACACTTCTTTGGGGTTTGTGATAAACCAACTAGACTTATATTTAAAACTGAGATAAAATTAAATTACTCCATCTCAATATGGTGTCCAAAACATTTTTACAAGTAATTTTTTTGACATTAGAGTCCATGGTCAGCATCAAACTGCTTCAATTAGATATTTCAAAGTTTTTCATTCCCTTCTCAAATGTTGTGCATATACGCTTTTTTATGTGATAGGATATCACAAGAGATCTTCACATCTAATTGCTTTGCAGAGATTCATACATACAATGCGAGCTATCCAAGGAGCTTTGATTGTGGCAGCAAGCATACAAATCATCATGGGTTACAGCCAAGTTTGGGGTCTCTTTTCACGGTATAATTGTACCATCTACAATTTGATGTGACTCATCTATGTTCAGACAAACAGTGTTTATTATTATTCATGGTTTTCTTTGCAGGTTTTTCAGTCCTCTTGGAATGGCACCTGTGGTTGGATTGGTTGGTTTTGGATTGTTTCAACGAGGATTTCCTGCGGTATGTATTTTTACATGCTAATAAGTGTGCATTATTCATTGATCAAGTTGGCCACGGGTATAGAGCCTTTATTTAATCGAGTACATATCTCCTATAATTGATTTCTGCAAATTTATATGTTGTGTTAGAATTTACCATCACCTACCACACACTTACCATCACCTACCACACACTCACCTACTACACTCACCTACTCCTCACCTACCACCACCTAACCTACACCTATATAATCAATCCATTGTAACAGAACAACAATATATCAATCAATAATAATACATACAATTTATTCTCTCTCTTTCTCTATACATTATTTCATCACCTACCACACACTCACCTACTACACTCACCTACTCCTCACCTACCACCACCTAACCTACATCTATATAATCAATCCATTGTAACAGAACAACAATATATCAATCAATAATAATACATACAATTTATTCTCTCTCTTTCTCTATACATTATTTCTTACATGTTGCCATGTCCAAATTTCAGCTTGGTTTTGGATTGTTTCAACGAGGATTTCCTGCGGTATGTATTTTTACATGCTAATAAGTGTGCATTATTCATTGATCAAGTTGGCCACGGGTATAGAGCCTTTATTTAATCGAGTACATATCTCCTATAATTGATTTCTGCAAATTTATATGTTGCCATGTCCAAATTTCAGCTAGGTAATTGTGTAGAAATTGGATTGCCAATGCTATTGTTGGTCATTGGATTTTCACAAGTAAGTTATTTCATAAATGGTTGGAGTAACCAAGCAAGCCTCTTTACATGGTATAATTATTTATTTTCTTCACATAAATAAGAGATGTAAATCATGTAATCGCAGTATCTGAAACATGTGAGACTACTGAGGGACTTTCCAATTTTTGAACGGTTTCCTGTTCTGATCTGTGTTGCTATCATCTGGGTCTATGCGGTTATACTGACTGCCGGTGGGGCCTACCGTAACAAACCTTTTGCCACTCAACTCAGTTGCCGTACAGACAAAGCAAATCTCATATCGACTGCCCCATGGTCAGTGTGCAATTTTTACTCTTGTTATTTATTTATTTATTTATTTTTGGTGGTGCTAATATTACATTTGATGCATTGATTAAGGTTCAAGTTTCCATACCCCTTGCAGTGGGGCCCACCTACTTTCGCAGCTGGTCATTCCTTTGCCATGATGTCTGCAGTTCTCGTGTCGATGGTTGAGGTATTAATTGGCTTCCATATGTGGCACTCTTAAACTCCTTGATACCATAACTGATCCACTTGAAAGCCTTCGAAATGTGTTCAAACCTAGCTTCTTTAACTAACGAACCTATCTCGAACAACCTTTTAACTAGCCTGCCTTGAGTAGTTTGTTCATTTTATAGCCCTACTCACACTAGAATTCCCAGGGTCAATGAAATTTTTACAGCCAAGCAACTTACCGCTTGTGGAAACACATCTGAAAACTAATTTGTATTAGTTACATAAAATAGAAGTGGCTATGGGACCTTTGGTCATTTCCAAGATGTGACAATAATTAGATTAGATTAACTTTTGGTGGTGAAAGAATCCATAATCATTTATTGCTCATACTTCTACTATGTTTGGCCTTGTTTATGGTACTATATGTGGATTTTTCTTTTATGAACAAACTTTTTCATGCTTAAGCCAACTTCAAATTGAATTAATTGTTGGCAACATTAGATCAACTTTTATTTTAATTATGAGGTGATAGATTGTGTTCTTAGTTGAAATATCTATGATCTGTTGCTTTACAACAAATTTATAGTTATGATTTTTGGATATAATAACTGTTGACGAAGTTTGTTTTCACTTTAATTTTTTGTGATGCAGTCCACTGGTGCATATAAGGCAGCATCTCGGTTGGCAATTGCCACTCCCCCTCCTGCCTATGTATTGAGCCGTGGTATCGGGTGGCAGGTGAGCAGATTGGACACATTATCTTGTCAGTTATCTCTTTAGCATTTGTTGGCAACAGAAGAAATAAATTTTTGTTGCACTTTCAGTTGTATCATCTTAGAAATAGTATTCATATGTGATGTGTAATCCATAGGTAGTCACAATATTATCTTTGAGCATATCTATTTTGCCATTCAATTTCAGGGGATTGGTGTTTTGCTTGATGGTCTTTTTGGAACAGGAACTGGTTCTACTGTATCGGTGTAAGTTATGACTGCATGTAGAATGTTCCATCATGTTTCTTTTAGTAGAAGATATAAACTTGACACAGAAAATTGGGATATGTTTCAGGGAAAATGTGGGACTCCTTGGACTCACCCGAGTTGGAAGTCGCAGAGTCGTTCAAATATCAGCTGGCTTCATGATATTCTTCTCCATCTTAGGTTGGCTAAGAAGTTTCAATCATCATTGCCCATATTTATGATGCACAAGGCTTGGCTCCATTTTGTTTCAGTTTTCGTAATTTTCTTTTATTGGTTCCTTACTAAACAAAGTCATGTTGAGAGTCTGGTTTGTGGTTTTCAAATCTTTACAAAGTTCACACTATGTTCTGTGTTTGCAGGAAAATTTGGAGCTGTTTTTGCTTCTATACCATTCCCCATATATGCTGCATTGTATTGCATTCTCTTTGGCCTTGTGGGTATGCCATTAGCATCGAGAAGATGTCTCTCTCACTCTTATTTTTCTTTGTCTTCACTTCACAAGGTTTCTTTGTCTTTGTGCAGGTTCAGTTGGCCTCTCATTTCTACAGTTCACTAACATGAATTCTATGAGAAATCTGACTATAACGGGCCTCTCACTCTTCCTTGGGATATCTGTTCCTCATTTTTTTTTTGAATACCAGACTATTCACGGAGGTCTTGTTCGCACCAATGCTGGATGGGTGAGTATTATCTGAACTAATCCCAATAATTTAACCTAAAGGTACAAAATTAACTCAGAAGTCCATTAAAAAAAAAAACTCTGGTTTTGCCTCTGTCTGATCCCTGCTGAGAAACAAAACAAGCAGTCAAAATAGTGTAACCTGGCTTGTTTGGTTGTGTAATGACAAAAATGTTCGAAAATACCAGTTTTCATTTTTGTGCAAAAAATTTCTTTTGTTGCAAATTCTGAAATAACTTTTTGATGATTCCTAAAAAGTGGATTGCTTTTGAATTTTTTTCTGAAAAATAGTTCGCCATATAAGTTTTCTGTGTATTCCAGAAAAATGATATCACAGTTTCTGTCATTTCCACATTATGTTGGGATTGGTCCAATTTTAAAACCTTTGTTACATGTAGGCTATGTTTGGATAAAAGATTCGAAGCGGATTTGTGAAGGGTAAAGAAGGAAAAAAAAAAGAAGAAGAAAAAAAAGTGGGGGAAAAAAAGATTCTATTTCATGATCAAAACACGGCCGCAACATGGAAAGTAATGAGGCCTGTCTTGAAATTTGGAACCTAATAGACTTGTGTGTGTGTGTGTGTGTCTGACATTATAACTGTTTCATTTGCAGTTCAATGCATTCTTGAATACCCTGTTCTCATCCCCACCAACAGTGGGATTGATAGTTGCGGTGTTTCTTGACAACACAATAGAAGTAGAGAAGTCGAAGAAAGACCGAGGGATGCCATGGTGGTTCAAGTTCAGAACATTTAGAGGCGATAACAGAAACGAAGAGTTCTACACACTCCCGTTCAATCTCAACAGGTTCTTTCCACCAACATGATGACACTGACAGACAGGGTTTATCAAAATCATTGAACACGCAGAAGAAAGCTCCTTTTCCCTACCCACAATTCAATTAACACACCGAGATGAGTAGTGTTCTTTGGAGAATATCCAAGTTTGTGAACAACTCTTCTTCATTGTCTCCATTTTTTGTCGACCATTGTGTAGCAAGGTCCCAGGTTGTTAGGCTTTAGGGCATGTAACTTCTAGATACTAGTCATTTTTTCCCACTCTATCAAGCCTATCATTTAACAATCTAACTTCTTTTTGTAATTAGTCCCAAGGTAGTATTCAACTCCTGCATAATTTGCTTGTGTGATTAATTGCTTCTAAAGTGTCCAAATCAATACAATTGAAATTGTAGGAATCACATGTATATTTTAATTTATGATAAATTATATTGATCACCTTTGTAGTTTAAAAAATATATATATATATATATACAATAAATTTCAAAAGTTTAAAGTTGAATAAAATAAACAAAGATTCATATAATTGATCCTACTAAATTGAAACACAAGATTTAATTTGACTTGAAGTTCAAAGTTTGAACCATTCCAACCTCGAAAAGATATGGCAAGATTGGCAATGGGATTGTTGTGAAAGCAAAACTGGTCGGCACTGAAAAGCTGGAAAAAAAGCTTAAGTTGAATGGCAGCTTCTTAGGTGGTTTTGACTTGTTACTGTCCCTTTCCCTTTGAGAAATCAGTTGACAAACCTGAAATTTGAAAAAGAAAAAAAAAAAAAAAAAGTGCTTAATAGAAAGGGCCTAAGTAGCATGAAAATTTTATTACACAAACTTAGGCTTTTCTTTATCCAAAGCAAGCAAACAAACAAACAAAAAGCACTTTATGTCTATATCACAATCTATTTAAATATTTAAATATTTCTGAAAATGTAATGTAATGTATGCCTACAAAAACATATGATATTTGGTTTGGTCTTTATTTTTTTTGGTTTGGTTTGGTCTTTACGATCACATGGTAACAGTCTCTGTCTCACGGGAAGGTTGAGATTGGGTCCCACTGACGGGTTAAGTAACCAATTAACGGTGGTGGAGGATGTGAATCTGGTTTTGGTACAAAATATAATCATTTCGTAATGCATGTGATATTCCTAGGTGGGTCCCTCCACAAAAATCCTATCAAAAATGCCTTGGCTTTCTAAAATAGGAGCTTGAGTTTTAATTAACCTTTTTTTCCTTTATAATTTTATTTTATTTTATTTTATTTTTTTTATCTCTGTCAGCTGTGTAGAGCTCAATTTAGAGCTCTCCACCTACAACTCTGTATCAGAGCTCAAATACTATTAACAACCCTAATACATAAATTGATGTACAATTGAAGTCAATACTCTTTTTTTATGGAGATACTACAGCCATATTTGATTATGTTGATTCTATAATTAATTTTCTGTATAATAAGAACAATCACCTCAGTATGTTTGCAATGACTTGTTGACGTGGGATCAATACAAAATTCATGAATGTGAAATAGTTTTTTTTTATACTTTTCAAATGTAAAATAGCATATATCATTAATCGTTTCTATAGCGATTCCGGTTTTTGGCCCGTTACTTGTTGTGTTTCGGACTCGGGTTGTATAGTTCTAAATAATGATTCATATCTTGTTTCCCTTGTCTCTTCTATATTTTGATTATCGGGTTGTGGTCATATGTTTGAAACAGGTTGATTGCGTGTTTTTCCAAACATGTGATGCCTAGATTTTGGCTCTTCCGCTCGAGCAAGCTTCACAAATTTTGCTCCTCCGCTCGAGCGGCCATTCTTGAGCTTGAGCGGGATTTGTCGACTCTCAGCATTTTTGCAGTTCTGCAAATACTAGAAGAGTGCATTGGACACTCGAGCGTCCAGTCTCACGCTCGAGCGGGGTCCTTCATCTGCAAAACTTCTAAAAGAACGTATCCCACGCTCGAACGCCACTTTTCATGCTTGAGCAGAACTTTGTATTTGACGCTCGAGCGTCGCTTTCCACGCTCGAGCGGACTACGTGTATAACAGTCCGTGAAAATGGCATTTTGAACCACTTTTTCATTCATTTCTCTCTCTAAAACTCTCCAAAAACCAAGATCTACACATTCTCTCTCTAAACTCACATTCTCTCTTCAATTTCATCTAGATCCGTTGATCTCATCACCCTAGTGCCTTTGAGAAAAATGTAGAGTGCTTCGAGATCTTCATTTTGATCTGAATAGAAGTGGGTTTCGGTGTCTTTGGAGTGTCAACCTTGCTTTGCTCATCTTCTCTTCTTGAGATAGGGATTTTCTACACTTTGTTATGGTTTTTAACTTAGTTATTTGTATATTGTGTAACAATTGTGGGATTTGGGGGTAATGTAAACAAACTTAAGGTTTGGGTATAAGATAGAAAGAGGGATTTTTGGTGAATATGAAATAAATAAGTATGGGATGTGAAAATGAGATTATGTTGTGTCAAAATGGTTAATTTTGATGCTTGGGTTGATATTTGGAAAAAAGAAATTTTTGTCCTAAAATGACTATCATAATTACTTTGTATAAATAATTGAAATTGGTGTGGTAAACATGAAATTGGGTGAGTGTTGAAATAGATGGTGAAATTGAGTATGTAATACTTCACGTCTTTGGAAATTTTGGATAAATTATCTATCTAGAGATTGTATATCTGTTTAGAAATATCTGTATTGGGCTATCGGTGGATGATAGTTATGATTGTTGTAGAAGTTGTATGCAAATTAGGTGAATTGAAACTAATCTCCTGTTGGTTGTCATTGAATATGACTATGTTTATATACATTATATATGTATAATTATTTGGAAGTGAAAAGGGGATGTACTCCATTATTTGATTATATGTTTAAATATATTGCACATGTATGAATGATCGTTTGGGAGGAGAAAAGGGATGGACTCCATTATTTAGGAGGAGAAAGGGGATGGACTTCATTATAATTAAGTTGGTCGGAGTATCCTGTGTGAAAGTCCTGAAATTATACATGGGTGTCGATCCCGTGGACGAAATATCCGTAAAATGGCAAATTAAAATTATACATGGGTGTCGATCCCACGAACGAAATATCCGTAAAATGACAATTTGAAGTGTTTGTATGTTGATGATACGATTATTGAACCATTGAGTTGTAGTCTCATCTGAATTGTTAAAGAAATTATGAAATTGGCTCATATATTGAAATGAATTGGAGGAAAAATGAAATGGAGTATGAAATTGAAATTCTATGACAATATAAAAATATGAATATTTTATTCCAGGCATTGTGTATGCACATGTACTTATATCTTTGTTAAACCGCATATATTATGTTAGATTATTCCTGCTTCTGCTGGGCTGTAGCTCACCCTATTTGGAAAAAATATTTTCACGTGTTGGTGACATGTCTTGGCCAATGCAATAGTTTGGAGGGACATCTGAGAAGCAAGAGCTTCTTTATTTGAATTGTCTATTTTTGTAAAGCCAATGGCTAAATTTGTATGAACTAGCCTCTCTTTTGTTGTAACCAAGTCAAAGCTTGGAAAGGTGTAAACCAATATGACATTTTATGTGAACTCTTTTATAATATCAAATCTGTGTAATTAAAAGAATTTAATTTGATGTATGTGATAATTAATAAATGTTTTGGGTTACATTTGCGCCGGGGGGGGGGGTGTTTGGGGTTTGTTACAGTTTCCAATACTACATGGGTAAACACCACATCTAGATTGAAATGGGTCTCTAGTCAATTTAAATTTTTCATGTTCTTTTAATCCCTGCATAACTCCTGTTTGCTAGTACAAAATATATCAAATAAGGTAATAAACTAAGAAGTAAATTAAAGAATCATGTTATACAAGTGCAATAGAAATAAAACTAGTCCAAATGCAAATCAAAAGTTGATTCATCATCAATGAAAACAAAAAAGAGGTAAGGATTGTTGAGTTGGCATGGGGTATTACATTTTAGGTTGTTTTCCATGGAATGACGTGCTTCACTTTAAGGGGTGGCCAAACACCATCCATTGGCAAGGCCCACCAAGCTCATGAGAACTTTATCAAATCACACATAACCCCAAAGCCACAAAGATTTCCTAAGGTTTTGGGCAAACCAAAAAAATAAATAAATAAATAAAATTTCAAGAGATCAATCAAGTTAAATTCGTTGATCTTTCTATTTTGAAAATGTACTAAATTTCCCAATTGAAGAAACATGTTATATACAATTTATTTTATAGGACAATAAATAAATAAATAAATAAAATCCTAAACGATGGAAGAAGTGGAGAGTAATCGATAGCGGGTGGAATATATAAGAGCAGTAAAACTTTATAGAATAGCTAATAAAATCTTTTCACAGCTTAACTTCGCAACCTCTCATATGTGCGTGTGGGGATAATGCCATTGGGTTAGAAGTCCCTAACATATTTTTTGGTATACGCTCTATAATAAGATTTATCTTTACTTTCGTTGTAGAAAAAGAAAATTAGTATCTATCCAACTTTTGTAATTGAAAAACTGCGTCCATGGCGGTATTGAGAGGGGAAAAAAATATTGGTGCTTAAATTAGTAGAAATTTTTTACATTTTGGAATGACTTGAATACTTTTCCATGTGCAAGATTTTTTCCTCTAGAGCTTAACTATTTTCAAGAAATCTTTAAAACAGAAATGGTCATGCATCTCATACCAACTGATAACTAGGGGCCAAAATACATGAAACCCTCAATTGACAATCTAACCACATGCCTACATAATATCTATGCATTTTGTAATTTATTTATTTTTTAAAATATAATTTTTAGGGTGTATGATGGAAATTGATCCAAAGCAGTAAAATCAAGACGCTAAATTACAATAATGATTTGTCAGAAGAGCATTATACATACACTAGTCATGGGCAACTGACAATAATGGATTTTACTTCATAACCTGCACATGCATAGAGGTACTGGGTTCCATGGTTTTCCAATTCATTATAACATTCGACTGTTGAGACAAGTTTGATTTACTCTTCACATGGCATAATATGATGGACACATTCAGTGTCGTAGTTAGAAATTCCGTTCAGCGGATTCATTTAGTAAAATATCATCAATGTTATTATATCATATTTTTAGTTCTACACAGACAAACAACATTAACATTCATATGATACTTTGTAAATTTCATATATTTCTAATTACATCGACAAAAGTAATCCAAAATAATGTCAATTTAAAATAAGTGTAAAATGCATTCTGCACAACACAAAGCAACATTACAAAACTATAAACTCTAAAATTTCAAAAGTTATAAATCCCCCCCTCCTTCCCAAACGAAAACCTTAGTCTTTGTTCTTGTCAAATCTCAAATATTGACAAAAACTCATCAAGACAATTGAATCATATATAGAAAAAACGTCTTGCGTAAAAGAAATATGATCTTGGTGGTGTCACATTCAAAGATCAAAGGACCAGAAATTGTGATTGTTGTTCCAAATGATTATCGACGTCGGAATCGGGATTGGGACCAAGAAGAATAAATAAACGGTGGGTTTGTTTGTAAAGTGCTAAACTTTCCTAATAAAGTTTGATTTTGTTTGTAAATGTAAGTGAGAGTGAGTGAGGTCAATATGTAAAGTTTTCATAATAGTTTTTTTTTGGATAGACCCACTGGGTTCATGGTGTAAATAGGCAGCAATTTTGGATAAAAATTACATGGTACTCTAAATTTTCTTGGAAACTCAGTGGTGTCATTTGAGTTAATTTTCTCCGCCCTGGAGACATCACCAAATATATTAGCTCAGTTATTTTTGCCTGTTAATTATCTCATAAAAGTGAGTCTAATTTCATTCTACTCATAAAGTTTTTCACTACATTATTACTTGAAAGTATTACATGAACAATGTCACATTATAATCTGAGTTTCTTGAAAATTTATCCCTGTAAAGGTTAAGCTACCTCATGCAAGGTGTGATCAACAATATATATATAACTCGTTTAGTGTAATTTTTTACTGTTCATAGCTTTCTTTTTATTATTTTGATACTCTAAATCGAAGCATTTGATTCAGTTTCTTTTTACATCTCCGTGAGATTCATGCTTGGATTGCCAAGATATTAAGCACAAGATACTTTGTCTCAAATTCAATGTCCTATTATCACAAAATATTCATAACGGTAGTTGAATTATGCTTAGAGGTTCTCACATGACTAATGACTAAGCCATTTTTGAACAAAGAATAGAGAGATTAGGGACAATGAATCAATGATAACTAGGGGCCAATATATAATATTTCTTCTCTTTTCTTTTTTTTATTCTGTTAGTGGAGGGTATTGGTGGGAGGGAGAACAGAAAGTAGGAAATAAAGGAGGAAATGCAGGAATCGGGTACTTGAAGTTTCAGATAATAAATTCTCATTTGTAAGCATCAAGATTTAGCGGGAAAGGCTAGAAAGTGAGGGAAACCCTTCAGAGACAATAACGATATGAGAGAGAGAGAGGTGGAATGGCTTTACAGGTTGGTTGAGCAGTGTTGCTTTAAAGGGATGCATAATGTGTATCACGGGAAATATGACCAGAAAAATCCTAACCTTTTCCTTTTATCTGTGCATCTGATGCACTCTGTGCTTGCTCCATTTTATTGGTTGTGTACTAAACAAGAACCCCTCCTCCTATACATAAAACAGAGAAAGAGGTTGGTGGTAGGGTGGGGGACATGGCATGTGAAATTGTAAACCTGTGAATGAGAGAAAGGGACCACACACCCCTGACCTACCATTATTTGTGTATAACATACATATATATATATATAGAGAGAGAGAGAGAAAGAGAGAGAGAGAGAGTACTACTTACCTCTACAAGCTTTGGGCTCCCATGTGAGGTCTCTGTAAAAACTTCTTACTTTGGGACCCGCAAATCCCTGCCCTCTCTGTCTGTAGTTCCCCCTTTCTTCCCTACATCTACGCCGCTGCTTCCTCTCATCTATTACCCTTTTTCTTTTCTTTTTTGGCATATTCTCATCATCCAAAATCACCACCCTCCGATCAATTTCGTCTATTCCTAACAGTCAAACTACTCAATGAACACTATAGTACATGTTTTGGTTCTCATCAATTTGTAAACAAGCTCAAGCACAGGTTTGAATCTAATCAATCCATATAGGATCTTGTTTGATCATATATATATATATATAATATAATCAGTGGTTTGTGGGTTTTCAGAATATAGCAAGAAAAGTAGATAGGACCCACCCACCAATACCAAATCTAATATGAAAGGGAAAGGTCCAATTTTCTCAGTGTCCAAACACTTTAATCATTACCCACCAGTTCCCATCACCTGTTAGGTGAAATGAAGATGGAGAGGGAACGAAAGCAACACACACAGCTCCTGTTGAAGCTAGAGTCACATTATTTTTGTACCCAAACTCAAATAAGGACGAAAAGTACTTAAAAGGTAAAAAGTTTTATTCAATAAAATGTATGTTACTTTTAATAGAGTACCTCAAAGAAACCAAAACCCATTTCCCATGGGCATGACATTCTGTTGATCTAAGTTTTGTGGTGCACAATTGTTCAATCCAGACAAATTGAGAATCAGAGCAGAGACATAATAAATCAAATAAATATTCACTGCAAATATCAGAGAAGCACACAGAAGCAGTTGCACACTTTTTCCAATTAGAACTGGGCTTGTTCATTACAAATACAATAAAACAAAGACTCCTTGAATGTACATTATCAAACAAAGCTGCTGGTTTAAACAAATTAAATATAATGAAGAAAAGAGGCATAACATAAACAAACATCAGACTCTCTCTCTCTTACAGCTTCACAAAGTCAATCAATTGACTTTGAAAAAAGGGAGAAAAATAAATGAAAAAACTAGGATACACCTTAAAAACCGCATCCATGCCTTTGTCATGTAATATAATATTAGAATAAGTTTTTTTTTTGTTTTTGTTTTTTATTTTTTTGTTTTTGTTTTATAGTGGACCATATATATATATCATAAGTTTATGTAAAGTAAAAATGTGGGTGTATAAGAAGTATGTGCCTGTAGCTTGCTTGTGCACAATATGTAGTTTCCTCACTTCAACAGTTAGAAAAGTCCAAAGGAAATCCTCCTGAGTCACACAATAACAACCAAGTTAGTGATATTTCAAAAAAATAAAGATTGAAGCAAGTCTAAAATATGATGTGTATAATTAGTTATCCAGTCAATTTAAAAATGAAATACCCACCAACAAAACATTCAATGGGTTCACAAGTCAACAACAGTTGCATTCATGTCAAAGGTGTTGTTTATGCTAGTACTCCCAAGACTTACATGATCCTAAATTGTCAAAAATCACATATTCACTTGTGTCCCCGGATTAACTGATCAGTAATCACAAATCATTTGTTTCTTTGGATTAATTGATCAGTACCACTACAGACACATACATTTCTGTAACTGAGTAATGAAAAAGCAAGGGTTTTGGCATAATTAATTAAAAGGTTTTTATGACCACATAAAGCCCGGAAAGCAAATAAATGCAACTACTGATACAAATGCTTCAGACCTTAATAGCGTACTCTGGATGAACAGCCTATTTCCAACCCAATATATGGTTGAAGTTACTTTGGTAGTTAGGCCTCCACTTCCTAATAGAGACAGTGCCAACAATGCATTTCGGTTAACTTTAGTACCCTCCAAGAAATCCCACCCTATATTTCAACTACAAACCAAAGCTCATCATACCCATATGCCCAATTCCAAAGTTCAAGGCACGATTCAAAAAAAAATAAAAAAAATCCCCTTTTTTATTAAAAAATGTGAAACTAAAGCTATGTTTGGATTTTAAATTTGAGAAATCACTTTATATATATATACATATATATTATATTTCAACTACAAACCAAAGCTCATCATACCCATATGCCCAATTCCAAAGTTCAAGGCACGATTCAAAAAAAAATAAAAAAAATCCCCTTTTTTATTAAAAAATGTGAAACTAAAGCTATGTTTGGATTTTAAATTTGAGAAATCACTTTATATATATATATATACATATATATTCACAAATCAAAGATTCATCCACCTCCTAAGTGATTTGTCAATGCAATTACATCATATGCAGCCACTGGCACTTCTTTTACTTCCACATAAACTAATCACGCATCCATATTTTACATGTGAGACCATCATACAAAAAGATTTGTGATTGATTTATCTTTTAATATAATTTTGCTAGCCATTGGAGACAGTGGAGCCAAGTCCATGTGTTGTGGGGGGACATTATTGTCTTTTCCAACGGTAAAATGGGCTCTAACTCATTTAATAGAACAGTTAATCCACCCGCCAACCACATGACACCTTGGCCCGGCGGCCTTATTGGCTGGCTACAATCACGTGACCAGTCACGTGGATTTACACTAACAAAACAAAAATCATTTATTTTTTTAACCGTTAAATCGAAAAACCGTACCTTTTTCCAATTTTTTTTTTTTTGGCGGGGGTTAGTTTTTGGACTGGTTCGGGCTTGATTCGCTGAAGATATTCTTCAGCCGATTGCCGGAAAGTCTCTGCAACGCCTTCTTCGCTCCGGCCACCTCCATCTCCGCCAGCCTCTGCATATTCCCATAAGCTCCCGCCGCCACCAGCCTCTTCCGGCACCCCTGACTCCCTCCCGCCATTATCGCAGCTACCACCGCCACCGGAAACTTCTTCGATACCAATTCGTACTTCGGATCCAGCATCTGAACCAACCTCATCACGCTCTTCTCATCTCTCACCAAATCTTTCCGGTTCGATCGAACCGTCAACAGCGACACCAACGCCTTCGCCACCACTTCTTGCAAACCATCTGGTTTCGATGACTCCATTAGCTTCACCAGAGCCCCCATAGAACCAGCAATGGCTCTCTTGTTACCGTCGCTTATCGTTAGATTAGCGAGCAATGAAGCGGAGATTTGCTGGAGAAGTATGTTCCCGTGCTTGATTAGCTCGGCGATTTGTATAATGAATGTAGTTGAAGACGATAAGGTTCGAGAAGTTGAATCGGAGGCTGAGAGTGAATAGATTGCTCGTAAAACGTGCTCTAATGTTTCTGAACTTGTTGATTCGTGAAGCAATTGAAGGAGTCTCTGTAACCCTCTTTCTTGTATTATCAGAGCTCGGAAAAATTCACCCGAGGAGGCGAGTATTGCGATGCAATTCGCCGCCTTTTCTTGCGCCGAGGCGGTGCCGGAGGCCAGTAACTGGACTAGAACAGGTATAGCCCCTTCCTCGCCCAATGAAACCCTAATGTCCTCCACGGCGGCGACGTTTTTCAAAGCTCCCACAGCATATCCTTGTGTTGTTAACGATCCCGATCGACAAGCTTCGATAAGCACCGATACGCCGCCGTAGGCTGAAACAGCCCAAGCATTATCGACATCGGCGGTGATTGCTTCGACCGCCATCGCCGCCTTCTCCTTCAATCCCATTGAGCCAGACTCTATGATTCGCAGTAACGGCCCTAATCCCCCCTCTTCAAACACGCATTTTCTCGATTGTTCGCTCGCAGAAGCGAGGATAGACACAACCGAGACTGCGTGTTCTCGAATCGAAGGATGAGCGTTCAAATCTAGAAGATGAATCAAGTAACTGATATTACCTTCCTTAGCAACTAAAGTAGCAGCTTTTTCATCATCGGCGAGCAGCTGAAGCAGAGACTCAGTCGCTTTCTTCTTGAACTCAATACCTCCGATCTGTAACCTCGTGAAAAGGTCTCGAATGAAAAACCCTAACTCTTCCTTGGCGGATCCAGGGGCGGGTTGGGAGAGGACGATCGCGTTGGATTGACGAAGAACGCCGGATCTGAGAAGCAAATCGATGTCCTGAATCTGCTTGCAGAGCCAGCCAGTGGCCATGTCGAGGTCGCTCTGCATGAGGAGCTTCCCAACAGAGTGGGATGGATCGGAGCATTGGTCGGAGAGGGTTTGGAGGCGATGGAGAGTGGAGAGGAGGTTGGGGAGGAGGTTTTGGAGAAGAGGGTTTTCGGACCAGTGAGGGGAGTCTGAGATTTCGGAGATTGAGGACTTGAGAGAAGCGAGCTTTGATCGGATGATTTGCCAGCGGCCGGTGAAGGACTTGATGGAGAGGGAGGATTGGAGGAGGTGGGTGAGGAGGTGGTTGATGCGGTCTAGGCTGTGCGGCGGAGGCGACGGAGGTGCGGCGGTGGGATGCATTTGGGATTGTAGGTGTGCTCTGCAATTCCGGATTAGCACCGGAATGGGCTGTAGTTGAGCTCAGGGGTTGAATTCATAGAGAGAGAGAGAGAGAGAGAGAGAGAGAGATGTGCTCTGAAAATGAAGGATTGCTTAGTGAGAAAGCTAAGTGGAGAGAGGGAGGGTTTGGAGGAAGACTGACACGAGAATGGAGAAAAGTGGAGCTATCGAGAGAGCTGTGGGGTTTTAGGAGGAGAGAGAGAGAGAGAGAGAGAGAGAGTCCACTTTTGAGGAAGCTGTGCTTGTGAAGATGGAGAGAGACAGAGAGAGAGAGGCGTGAGCGCGTATGTTGTGGGGGAGCTGAGCTAGCCTAGCCTGTGTGAGGGTTGTCAAACTTGTGGGGCTAAGTTGGCACATGACCGTCGCTGGATTTTGGGTCGTGCGGAGTTTATGGGTCGACTAGTCTTTGGACTGGTTCGGGCTTGATTCTGATTTTTGATTTATGAATCTCAACCTAAATTACCAACACAATCTCATCACGTAAAGAAATACAGAATTTTCCATACAGGAGTGATGTAACAAGATTTTTTTATATGATTTGTTAATAGAATTCATTTTTTAAAATATTTTTTTTTTTATATATGCATTGTGTTTGATTTTATAATTATTTTTTATTTTTATTAATCTTAAAGCATCTCCGATCTATCAAATTTCACATAGCATTCTAAGCTATACAAATTGATGTGATCTTGCATTCCAATTGAATTGTCATATAAACTACCAGTTTAGGGTTTGTTTGATAACGTTTACGTTTTCAATTTTTATTTATAAAAATTTTATAAACTGATTTTTGTTTACTTTTTGTTTATTTTTAGAAAAATATAAACTACAAACGCGTTTGGTAATTGACAAAATATTTTAAACAAATTTAAAATATAAAAAAAAAAAAAAAGTGAGAAATGGCAAGTGGCGGCGGAAGACGGTTGTAGAAAGTGGTAACGTGGGCGGTGGGTAGCGGGTGTGGCGGGTGGGTGGGGGTGGGGTGTGGGTGGTGGGTGGGTGGAGGTGACGGTGGCGGGTGGTGGGTGGTAGCAAGTTGGTGGTGGTGTGGTGGTGGTGGTGTGTGGTGGTGGTGGGTGACGATGACGGGTGGGGTGGTAACGAGTGGGTGGGTGGTGGTGGTGGTGGTGGTGGTGGGTGGTGCTAGCAAAGTGGGTGGTGGTGGTGGTGGTGGCGGTGGATGGTAGTGGCGAGTGGTGGGTGTGGCAGGTGGGTGGTTGTGGGTATGGTGGTGGGGGCGGCAGGGGTGGTTGGTGCTGGTGGGGGGGGGTGGCGAGTGCACGGTGGCAGTGGTTAGTGGTGGCTAGTGGGTAGGTGGTGGTGGCGAGTGGTGGGTGGTTGTTGGCAGTAGTGGGTGGTGGAGTGAGTGGTCGCGCAGGTGGTAGCGAGTGAAGGAGGTGAGTGGTGGGTGGTGGTGGCAGAAAACGGTAGTGAAAAATGGTGACGGGTGGTGGCTAGTGTTGGGTGATAAAAAAAAAAAACTCAAAATTCAAAACGGAAACACATTTTTTAAGTTTACATTTTTTTGCCAAATTTATAAACTGAGACCACTGATTTATAAATCAAAAATTTACCAAACAAGTTTTTATTTGAGTTTTTTAAATTTTTGTAAATATAAACAGGAAACTGAAAACGTAAGTGTTACCAAATGGCACCTTAAAAAACTGTTATATTTTATTTTCTTTTTTTAATTTGAAAATATGCAACAAAATGTTTGATAAAACTTTTGCAATGTGTAATGAAACTTTTGTTTACTCTTGACATGGGTAGGTCCATAAAGGCTATAGCCCACTATGAACAAACAAAACCCATCACTTAAGGCCCAATACATAATTCAACTGATGAGGCTCAACATGACTAGAAGTTAACATGGCATTAAGAACCAATGACACTCAGACACGTGACAGGTGAAGAACAAGTCACATAAGTAGACAAAGATCCTGGAAAGTTATTACGCTGCACATCAGCCATTAATGAAGCCCCTTACAGCATTTATTGCGATAAGCCCTCCCCGTCAAGACAGAACAGCCTCACCATGAACAAGGCAAGGTAGAACATAGACTTTCGGCCATGGCGACAGGTCGGAAGGGACAACGAAATGATTACCAAAGGATATAAGCAAACGTCGAAGACAAGAAGAAGGTTAAGCTTTCTATCTCTAATATATCTCTACAGTCCACTTCTCTTTCTAACTTGCACGTCGGAGGGTTCGCTGGGGGACTCCCCGTTCCCCATTGAACTCTTGTGCAGGTCTTCTGGTGGGCTTGGTCACTCAGACAATAGTTTGGGAAACGTGGATCAATCCGACCCGTTCCATTTGGAACCCGCAATATCATCAGTTGGCGTCGTCTGTGGGAACGCTTTGCTCCGTGCGCCAGTTGTGCTTATTGTCGCCGGAGACCCTATCCCAATAACCATTTTCCTGTCACCCACCAAGGTGTATGGTCACGACTAGATCCATGACTTCTCACCACAATGTTGCCAACCACCAAGTCGACCCTCCCAATCTAAACAACCCACCACGGTATTTCACCGAGCTCACCAACAGCATTAACAGCATGGCCGAGCAAAACCAAGCCTTGATTACCGCTCTACTCCAAAGAAACCCTCTTATGCTTCCTCCACCACCTCCAGATATCCCACCCAACCAAGAACGAGCCCCGAGCCACACTATCCAGCAACCCCATCCGCCCAACTCGGAGGGCTTGCGACCACCTCCCCTAGATATGAACCTACCCCCCGGGCCCCACATCCATCGATCCAGGCACCCACCCCCGAGGGAGAGGCCAGTAGCATCCAGCTCTCGTTCCCTTCCGGTGGTGACAACGTCCCTTTCTGGGATGCAGAACTCCGAGCCATAAAGCTCCAACTCTAAGGAGTCATGTAGAACATACCGAATAAACCATCCATCACAGCCAACTCACCATTCGTTGCCTCCATCCGGGACAAGCCTCTACCGCCTAAGTTCAAAATGCCAACCATCGACTCTTTTTACGGTACAACAGACTCAATCGATCACTTGGAGACCTACCGAACCCTCATGATCCTATATGCATTCCCTGATGAAATCATGTGTCAGGCTTTCCCTGTAACACTCAAGGGTCGGCTTGACTTTGGTTTAGTCAACTGTCAGCAGACTCTGTCTCCACTTTCCAGCACCTCAGTGACTCCTTCCTCAGTCATTTCATTGGAGCCCAGCGCCAGCGCCGGCAACCCAACTCCTCAATATCCATCAGATCGAGGGGGAGTCGCTGCACAGTTTCGTTACCCGTTTCAACACCGAAGCCTTGCAGGTAGTGGAAAAATGATAAGGTCATCCTTACGGCTTTTATGGCCGGTCTATGGTCATTTGACTTCATTTTCTCCCTCTCTAAAAACCCTTCGACCTCCATGGCAATCCTACTCTCTAAAGCCCAAAAATACATGAACGCCGAAGACTCCCTAGCCGCCCAACAAGATCTTATAACCAAAAAATCGACCCCCAGAGAGAAGAGAAAAGACTCAGAAACCAGAAATACCCAGTACACTCACCAAACACCTCAGTATACCGACCGACCACCCCGAGCCGACCGGTCGGCGTCAACCCAATCGCCCAGCCGGTTCGAAAGATACACACCCCTCAACTCCCCCATGGAACAAGTCTTGAACCAAATCCAGCGAGATTACCCCCTCAAATGGCCCCAACCGTCGCGGTCTCCTTCTAACTAGCGAGACCAGTCAAAATACTGCTGCTTCTACCAGGACCACGGCCATAACACTGAAGAGTGTGTTAACCTCAAGGACCAGGTCAAGGGCCTGATCCGTCAGGGATGTCTCAGCCGGTTCACGGAAGCTCGCCCCTAGCGGAGGCAAAGGACTGAACCCATCAGAAACAATCGCCGACGCACCTCTCTACGGCAACCAGCACAACCCAACCAAGGTTATGATCGCCCTTCACAGCAACCCCCGGGCACAAGGTAACCCCGCCCCACCTGTTGGAGAAATCAGAGTTATTGCTGGCGAGCTTGCTTATGGAGGACTATCCCGCTCGGCCCAGTGGGCAGAACTTAGAAAAATAAGACAGGGCTTAGACAAAGAAGTTACCACACTGGACCGCCCTTCCAAACAACCCAAACAGTGGATAGAGCCCATCACCTTCACAGAGGCCGACTGCATAGGCATCCGTTACCCCCATGACGACCCTCTCACCATCTCTACCCTCCTCTCCAACTACAAAGTCAGACGGGTTCTCGTCGACAACGGCAGTTCTTCCGACATCATCTTCCTAAATGCCTTTCGCCAGCTCAAGATCGGGGAGGAAAGTCTATCTCCTCTCCAAACCCCATTGGTCGGCTTCACTAGAGACCGGGTGACCTCCATCAGCTCCATCGACCTTCCCATCACAATCGGTGAATACTCGCGGTAGACCACAAAATTACTCACCTTTCTTGTTGTCGACTGCCCCTCTGCTTACAACATCATCCTTGGCCGCACCACCCTAAATGCCTTCCAAGCTATCACATCCACTTTCCATCTTGCCATCAAGTTCCCCACCGATCTCGGGATCGGCACAGTAAGGGGAGAGCAGACCGTAGCTAAAGAATGTTATGTCGCCTCACTTAAAGAGGTCAAGCTCAAGGAGGCTATGATCATTGAAGGACTCGACGTCAGAGACGAGGATGAACTGGTCAGAGGGGAACCAGTGGAAGAGCTTGTTGAGGTCCTCATCGATCCCACCAACCAGGCAAAAACTGCCAAGATCGGCAGTCAACTATCCTCCTAGGCCAAAGCCGACCTCATCGCCCTCCTGATTGAGTACAACGATGTATTTGCCTGGACCTACTCTGATATGCCAGGTATTGACCCCTCTTTCATCACCCATCGTCTCAACATCGAACCCCATTTCTGACCCTTCCGCCAGAAGCAGCGCATCTTTCATTCGGAGCGCAATACTCTTATCGCTGCTGAAGTGGATAAGCTCCTTGAGGCACAATGTCACGACCCAAACCCGTCCCTGTAGGTTTAGCACCGTAATCGGCCAGTAATCCGTGGATTACCAAAGGCCTCTAAACAAATTTGCAAATAATAAGGGGCTGCGGAAGCAATAGTACAAAATAGACAAGGTCCAATAAGCTGTGATAACATACATGGGACAGAACATTTCAAAACTTGTTTATACATACATAAACATGCCAGTCCAGATACACAATATTTACAAGGTATTTACAGAATGTACTTCCCAAGACCTGACTTTACAGAGCATACACAAAGACTAGCATGAATACAAAAACAGCCA